CTGATTTGTGTATAGATGGAAGGAGGGTTTGGCTCGAGCCTGAGTTTGAACCCTGGGCTTACATGGCAGTGTAGACACACACTAAAACAACATTAATTAACCCTCACACCCATGGTGAGGCTTAAGCATACATTCCTGGGTTTGGGGGGTATTTAGAACAGGGGTTTTTAGTTCTGGCCCACTATAAAAATAAGGTCCATTGGTGCATGGTGGACCCTGATCAAGTTTCAGATCTGCGGTTTGTCTGTTTTACTGATGGATAAACTGAGGCACTCAGACACTGGATTCATCTATATTAAGTCCAGTAGGAGTGTCGGATCATTTGCTCTGGTCTCCTGTATAATACAGGCGATAGTGTTTTACCCAGGAATTCCTGCAATGGAGGGAATCGTCCTTCCCAGCTATGTACATAGACACTAGTGAGGATGATAGACTTGTTGTTGAACAGGGGTGACCTTTGTAAGATTGCTTACACAGTAAAAAAAAATATCTCTGAACTTGCCCTCTAGTACACGCAGTGCTCTGATGGCTTATTGAAGCAAATCGGTCACATTCCTCAATGAGTGTGTTTTACCAGATCAGCTACTTCACTGACCTCTTGCATTAAAGCCCCAGGGAGGTATACTGAAATTCTACAAACATACAGTGCCACATTAGGTGTACGCACCCTGTTTGCACCAGGGTTGAATTGGGCCTATAGTGGAAAGAGCAATGAAATATTTAGCGGTTCCTTGCGTCCTGTTCTTGTTTCAGTATAAATTGTGAGGTTATCAGGAGGAATATTTCTATAGCCTCGCAGACAGAAAGGGCCAAAAACTGAGCTGAAGATCTGACTCAAAATGTGCTGCATTTACAGCTCTTTACCCCCATAAGGGCCAGAAATGTACTTCTAATTGGAAGATGACCTGTTTTCCAAAGCATGCAGAAAACTCCACACTACACCCAGAGCCTTGGAGTGAGCAGGAAAACTGATCCATCAGTTACTGAACGTAGCAGCTACCCATCTAGTTGGCTTCTGAGAGCGTGAATCTGGATACATTTATATTTAGAAGCTTAATCTGCTAATAAGATGGAATGCAGATATTTTTTAATGCTCACTACTTAATTTATTCATCATTGACACAGCTGTGAAATCTCAAGATAATTTAGATACAAACAAGTTGATAAAAGGGGTTACACTTGAATTTAATCCTTACAAACATTGATTAAATTGCTTGCTGGG